AATTTATAAATAAAAAGTTACATTAATTTAAAGTTTTGTATTTAGCGGTTGCATTACTTTTGTGAGCCACTGTACATCTTTGCTAAAATCTGTAAAATTTTGGAGTAAGCCAATAACAATCTTTGTTTACTACTTTAATAAACATTTAGGAATCTGACCCTTAAACTATTAAAATACTGGAAATTTACATAATTGATTCTATAATTTTATTGGATTTGCTTACTGCGCCATAATTGTCATGACATAATGATTATATCCTTATGATGTAAAGGGGCAAAAAATGATACGCTCGTAAGCAGTGCTAGAAATTTTGCATAGATATATTGTGCATAAAAAATTTTATTGTGTGCATATATTTTTGTGCATGCGATTTCGAATTTTAGTTTATTAATCTATGTTGAAAAAAGATGTGTTCTGCATTAGATAAGGGAATAATAAGAATAAGTTTAATAAGCAAAGAAACATTTAGAAATTCATTTCAAAAATATGATTTTTGTGAAAATAATAAAATTCCAACCATCTATACTATTTAAATTTTGAATATTTATCATCTTTTCATTTAATCATCTCCATTCTTATTTTAATTTTTTTTGTTAAATTAATTTCACCATTTTTTGTTTATATATTATTATCATAAAAATTTGCCAATATTTCAATTTTAACATTTTCATAATTTGATATATCACATTCCTTATGAGGTAATAATCTTGGCTCAAAGATTTTCATTGCATTATATAAATTTGTATCTAAAACAAGATTTAAACTTTGGGTTATTGTTGTACAAATTCAAATATAGAAGGAAGATGATCTGGATTTATAGAAATTTTGACCATATATAAGATAATATTGCAGTCATTCGGTAAGTAATCTGAGTTTTAATTTTGAAGATTATAATCGCCGAATATTAATATTTGTATTATCCCTTATTTAGGTGACGATGGATTGTGTAGTAAATGATATCGAGATCGAGAAAATTAGATTCATTTAGATCGGCAGTTTCAGTTAATTAAAAATCGAATCGACCATAACCAATTAATAAAACAAGGTATTACACGGAAAATAAAAAATTTTTTTGATGATTATGATAATCTTTATAAAAACCTTTATTTATTTAATGTGCTAATTAGGAATTACACAATGCATTTTTTTTGTCCGGTGAATCGCGACCCACATACTTATCTTTGGAAATGATCGGCAGTTTCAAAATCGATCGTACCCAAAAGTTTTATTAACTTGCATAATATTGAAACTTTATTAATAGGAACAAACGACTTACAAAATGTTTGATTAGTAATCTCGTTTCCCTTTCAAACACAACTCATTTTGGAAGTACTATGGGAAAATTACTTACAAAACCGGATGTAAATAAAACTAAGAAACCACTTAATACGAACAAAACTGATATGGGTGGAGAAAATTTCCATTATGTTGAAGGCAGAAGGTTTCATAATGTGCAAACGTCCAAATATATGCTTCCAAATGATGACGAAGAATGTGATAGGTTGCATATGCAACACTTTTTGATGAGATATGCTTGGCAGGGTAACTTTGCTTCTCCCGTTGAATACATCTTGAAAAGAGTTGGCTCTAAAGTTCTTGATGTTGGGTATGTGTCAATGTCAAAATGTTGAGTTTTTTACGAGACATTCACACCTGATTTTTCATTTTAAAAGGTGTGGTGCTGGTTCCTGGTCATTTGAAATGGCAACCGATTATCCAAATGCTGAAATCACCGGCGTAGATATCTCACCCATTCAACCTACAGGAATTAAGCCAAAAAATTTTACTTTTATTAAAAGTGACATTCTTGAAGGGTTACCGTTTGCTGATGAATCTTTTGATTTTATATTCCAACGTTTCTTGGTTGGCTCAATCCCAAAGGACAAATGGAAGCCCGTTATCGAGGAGCTAACCAGAATGTTAAAACCTGGTGGTTATTTGGAGGTAAAAAATATTGGAACCTTTAAGTATTATGAATTCCTTCAAATCTGTTCTTCTAGATCTAAATATTCATTCTTTATTTAACAGTTGATGGAATGTAACGTATTATCTGAAAGATTAGGTCCAACTTCATTTAAATTCGCATCTGCTTGTAGGATATTTTTTATTTATTTTTTCATCCCATTACTGTCATTTTTTATGTTTTATATTGACATTCTGATGTGTTTAGTGAAGAATATATTCGAGCAACGAGGACTTGAAACAAAAATGGTTTCAAAATTAAAATCTTATATTGAGCAACAAGGACAATTTGAAGAGATCAAAGATGAAATCAAACATTTAAGCGGAGGCTCTGAAGCCGGTAAACTTGGTCAAGCAGTATGTACTCAAGGTTTTTAAATCTATCCATGGTTTCAAAATTCCATTTCTGAATAATAGTTTTTTCCTTTCTTATAGTTTAATGACGATGTCATAAGTGTTTTCAAAAATGTAGATGTCTTGTTGGTGCCAGTTTTACAAGTCACTCCCGAAGAATATGAAAAAAACTTAAAGGACATAAAACAAGAATGGTTAGAACGAAATAGCTATTCCCGTTTCATTCGTGTTTATGCTAGGAAAATATAAAATGTCTATATTATGAAAAACATTTGAGCCCAAAAAATGGTTTTAATATTTTCCGTTTATTATTTAAGGATTTATCATTAAAACGTGATCTTTTCTAGGTCCATACAAAACAAAAATCACTTTTCTTTCTTGTTTAAATAATGTCTTCTTTTAAAGAAAAATCACATTCAATTTAATGAAGCTGTTCAACTACTTTTTAATACATAGCTAACAATTAATTTTTTTTCCTATTAAACATCGTTAAACATGTCAATTAACTCTTTTTTTTTTTTTAAAAAAAAAATATATATATTTATTCTAATCATATTTGTAAATTATGTGATAATATGGCTTGAACTTATTAAAAATTATATAAGTCTCTACGTCTCATTTATACTACGTTTCCTAATTCATATATACAATTATAGAAAAATTGTGGAAAAACTTAAGTGGTAGTTATAATAATGATAATGCCGAGAAATAATTTTAAGGAGCGACGACGTTCATGAACGATTAATTTTATCGAAAAATCGTAAAAAAGGTTAAATTGGTGCCAAGAATACGAACATACCTTAATTCTTGAAGAAACGACTTGATTTATGTCATATAAATATAAATAAATTTATATATAATGGAATTTTATCCAAACTTTCGCAAATTTTTAACTTTCATTAGACATCGAATTTTCAGTTTTATTTATATTGGTTGATTAAATAAAACTTTTAATTATTCAAAATTTCAGTTCGATTGCATTAATACTCAAAAAAATGAATTGTTCAGTATTTATTAATTTACTACAATTTTTATTAAATAATTAACAAAAAAAAAAACAATTTCTTATATTTAAACAAGTCAAATTCCTTGTACTGTATATATACAATCGATCTGAAATTTTTGGCTTTTAACAGTATATACAAGTTAACTTGATCATTTAATATAAATTAAAACTGAAAATTTTGATGTTTAATTATAGCCGAAAATTTGCATTATATATAAATTTATATGAAATTATGACAATTGAGTATATCCTTGCAGAATACAGTCCGACGATCTTTTTGAGTACATTCATGTCACTTTTTAGCTCAGTCATATGAATTTGGGTTCTGATCATCGGACCACAGCAGTCCAGTAACTTGCCTAAAATTATTTGAGTCGACAATTAGTTTTAACGTCACAGAAGCTTTATTGTGATCACCATATAAAACTTTTTTTTTCCTGTTCACTATATTCACTATAATGAGTAGTTTCGTGGTTGAATGATTTTATTATAATGTCTTGTTATTATAATTAATTTATTTTAATCTTTTATAATGAGTTTAATTTTACATATATATTCTCTTAAATTTCTTTATAAAATTATTTCAAGAAATATTTCAAGAATACTGTAAATATGGATATTATTGACGATAATGCTACACCGGAGAAAATACCAAATGTTAGTTATTATAATAATTATCATGTCATGCTGTAATATATATATATAAAGACTAAATTCTAAAATGTATATATCATTACAATTAAAAAAAATGAAGCTTTCTTGCAGCAAATTATTAAATATTAGGATTAATTAATTAGATGGTTATTTGTTAATAAACAATACTTATACATATGGCTGTGAAATATTTTATAAAATGCATGAAGCGAAGAACTTTTTCCATCCAAATCACGGTTTTATAAAAAAAATTATTTCGATATAAAATTTACCCATCTCTAAAATCATTTTATTACAATCATGTGACGCCCATTTGTCTTTTAAGTTTAAAACGAGAGTTTTTTGCGGAGATTTATTGGGTACACATTATATAGGTCATATAAATTCTAACAGCCCGATTAATCAACATTACAAGACTCAGCATGGTTATCTCAGTCTGATGATGGCCAAGTCTTATTAAAATTTATTCAGTCTGCATCAAAAATTCGCATGACTCAAAAGATCGTCGTACTTCGTAAGGTACAACTGGAACATAATTTTACTTATTTAAACTTATTCGATGATCATTTCTATTTTAAGATGACCGATGACTTACTGTACAGTACATTTTATATTTTAATTTTAGGTGATATCGGAGATCGAGATTTATTTAAGATCGCCAGTTTTAGTTAATTAAAAATTTTTAATAACGGAAAAAAAAATTTTTTTTTTGATGATATGATAATCTAATATGGAATTACACAATGTATTTTGTTTGAGGAAATAATGTCCCTGCATAATTATCTTTGGAAATGATAGGCGGTTTCAAAAATCAATTATACTCAATCAGTAAAAAAGATTTAATTAACCTGCATAACACAATGCATTGTTTATGAATTACAGAACGCATAAAAAATTTTTTTGATTAATAATCTATTTCCCTTTCAAACCCAACTATTTAGAAGTATGGGAAATATCTTTACTAAACCGGTTATAAATAAAGCTAAGATACCATTTAATACAAACACAACTAATATGGATTATGAAAATTTCCATTATGTTGAAGGCAGAAGGTTTCATAATGTGCAAACGTCCAAATATATACTTCCAAATGATGACGAAGAATGTGATAGGTTGCATATGCAACACTTTTTGATGAGATATGTTTGGCAGGGTAACTTTGCTTCTCCCGTTGAACACATCTTGAAAAGAGTTGGCTCTAAAGTTCTTGATGTTGGGTATGTATCAATGTCAAAATGTTGAGTTTTTTACGAGACATTCACACCTGATTTTTCCTTTTAAAAGATGTGGTGCTAGTTCTTGGTCATTTGAAATGGCAACCAATTATCCAAATGCTGAAATCACCGGCGTAGATATCTCACCCATTTAACCTACAGGAATTAAGCCAAAAAATTTTACTTTTATTAAAGGTGACATTCTTGAAGGGTTACCGTTTGCCGATGAAACTTTTGATTTTATATTCTAACGTTTTTTGATGGGCTCAATACCAAAGGACAAATGGAATTCTGTGATCGAGGAGCTTACCAGAATGTTAAAACCTGGTGGTTATTTGGAGGTAAAAAAGGATGTTGGAACCTTTAAGTATTATGAATTCCTTCAAATCTATTCTTCTAGATCTAATATTCATTCTTTATACAACAGTTGATGGAAAGTAACTTATCTGAAAGATTAGGTCCAACTTCATTTATAATCGCAAATGCTGGTATGATGTATTTTATTTTACTTTTTCATTTATTACTGTCATTTTTTAAGATTTATATTGACATTCTGAAGTGTTTAGTGAACACTTTATTCGAACAACGAGGACTTGAAACAAAAATTGTTTCAAAATTAGAATCTTATATTGAGCAACAAGGACAATTTGAAGAGATTAAAGATGAAATCAAACTTTTAAGTGGAAGCGCTGAAGCCGGTAAACTTGGTCAAGTGGTAGGTTGAAGAAGTAATTTAATATCATGATTTTTTGTTACTGAAGGAATTTTAATCGATAATTCGAATTTCATTTCTGAATAACGGATTATCCCTTTATTATAGTTTATTGAAGATGTCATGAGAGCTTACAATAATATAGAAGTTGTATTGTTGCCAATTTTACAAGTCACTCCCGAAGAATATAAAAATTACTTAAAAATCACAAAAGAAGAATGGTTAGAAAACAATAGCTCTGTTCGATTAATTCGTGTTTATGTTAGGAAAATATAAAATGTCTATATCATTATTGTGTGTTTAAAAAAATATTTGAATCCAAAAAATAGTTTTAAAATATTCCGTCTATTCTTGGATTTTCAAAGATTTCTTAAGATATATTAAACGTTATTGTTTCTAAATAAAATATGTATATATAATATATTCGAAAGATACTTAAAAGATTTTTCGCCAATATATCTTTCTCCTTTCTTTCTTATCATAAACCGTGTTTAAAATAGTGTCTATTTTTAAAGAAAAATCACAAAGAAAAGTTAAGCTATTCAACCACTTTTTAATGCATGGTATAATTCATAAATCATCTCGTTTGTTTCTTTTTATTTCAGAAAATTGAACAATATTCTATTCATATGGTCTGAACTTGTTTAAAAAGTTACTGCGCCTCATTTCTAATATTTTCCTGATTAAATATATTATTATCTTTTGTATAAATTTTCGCTTCACAAATAGAATTACAGCAATTTCTATAAAAACGCATTATCTATAAACTATATATTAAATGGCAAATTTTATCCATAAAATGTCTAGTGTGTTTATTATTTGTTCATTAATCAACTATAATTATAAAATTGTCTTTTTAAAAACACACAAAATATACATAAATATCCCATCATTTTGAAGCTATATATAAATAATGTATAAATAATTGTATTCAATGATTGGTATATACTAATTGTATAAACTAATATGAACAGTAATTTATATTCGCCTTAAGAAAATTATCTGGATTCCATATCTATTATATAATATATTCCATTAAGATTAAAAATCCCATGTAATGATCAATTGCACAGGCATCAATAAATTTATATGTACCATATTTTGAAAATGACAGGTGTCCTGCACTATCCTCTTTGATGTTTGCAATCTAATGAATATACACTAGCATATGAATTTTTCCTTCAAATTCATAAGTTAAGTAATATTTAGAAGATTTTTTAGAAAAGCAACCCACTTATCTATTTTTATAATAGCCTATATACAATGAATTAATAATATTTAATATCTAAAAATTATAATAATTATGAATTGTATGCAAATATACTAGAATTGAATAGTTAGTTCAGACATAATCTGAATTTCTCCTAATCTATTTTGAACTAATATAAAACCTATCTTTTGTATGTAATAGTTTATATATTGTATCATATCATGAAAAGGACTATAAAAATAATTTGATTATTATTAAAATAATAAATAAAAAACAATAGCATATACAGTCAACTCTTGATATAGCGAACTCTTAATATAACGAATTTTTTGAACAAATATAATAAAAATACTCTTGTTATAGCGAATTGGCCAATCAAATCTCTTAAAATCTTCACTATAGCCTTATAGTGAAGTTGAGATCTAAGACATAGAGTTCGTTATAACAAGAGTTGACTGTATTAATGCAAATTTCATCAAGTTTTAAATTTATAATATTATAATATACCGAAAAATGTTCTTTTATTTTTTTTAATTCTATTTGGTTAAATTGATATTTTTCTATTAGAAAATAAAACTCTTTAGCTATATTTAGTTGAGAAAATATAAAATGATATTTATGATTATTATCTTATTAAAAAGAAAAAAATTTTTAATAGAAAACTTAATAAAATAGTAAATTATTAAAAAGTTTTAAATATGAATATTATTAATTATATTTTTATAAGGATAAAAGCATAATTAAGCTAAAAAAAGAAGTATTTTACATACTCATTCTAATAGAAATTGCTAAGTAGTCCAGTATAGATTAGTATTTTCAATACTAGTAGCTATATGTAATATAATATAAAAATATAACTTTATTATATTAATACAGTCTTCTTTACTATAATAATATTCTTTAAAGATAATAATAATTTAGATTAATAATATATTTACTTTAATATTATCTAATATTTTATTTACCTTTTATAATAATTGTAAAAAATTTAAAATAAAAATCAAATATCTTTTATATTTTATGCAGTTAATATTAATCTTTAATATAGATATATAACTTTAACAAAATTAGCCTATTTAATATAATGCCTTATTGGCATTCACCTTTTAAAAGAGATAAAATGTATAACATTATCTATGCTAATCACTCTTCTACATTATATCTATTATAATGAAGAACTATATTATACAGTGATCATCTTAAATATATTAAAAGTATTTTTCACGTATTATATATTTAATTTCTAATTTTATTTAATATAGATTTGTTAATATAGTAAAGTATTAAAGTCACCAGACACTTAAAATTAAAAAATCAATAGGAAATAGTTCTTTCAAATTAAACTTTTTATTTTATTAATTAAATCATCTTTAATATAATAAGTTAAATTATGCAACTTAATGAAATACATATATATTAAAATTTTTATAAATATCTAATTGGTAATAAAATTTATATTTATTATTTTACATAATATTTTTATGTATTAATACAAGTTTTTAGTTATAATTAAACATAAAATTTTTAAGTAGTAATCTATTTTAATTTTTTAATTAAACTCATTTATCATATTAATAAATATATATTCTCAAAATTTTATATTAATTACATTTATATTTGTGGAGATCAAATTGATAAAGTGTAAAATTTTAGTAAAATTCTAAAAAGATTAGCATTTTACATAATTGTGACTGTATCGATTTGATCTTTATATACATAAATGTAAATAATTAAAACCTATTAAAGAAAATATATTTTTTAATATAATAAACAAATTAAATTAATAAAATATAATATATTATAACTAAAAATTCAATGTTTTATTATAACTAAAATCTTGTATTAATACACGAAAATGTTACATTAAATATATAATATAAATTTTATTACTAATTAAATATCTATAAAAACTTTAACATACGTATTTCATTATAATACATATTTTTATAAAAATTGATTTAATTAATAAAATAAATAGTTAATTTGAAAGAATTTTTTTTATATACTTCAATTTATATATATCATTAGCGTAAAATTTAGAATACAGATTTTTTATATAAATAAATCAAAAAATGTGAAATATATATTTTATAGTAGTGAAATATGAATATGTTAATATAAAAATATGTATGCAAAATAATAAGTTTATTATAAAAATAAAAATCAAATCGCAAAAAAAACATTTTGTGAGATCTTTTTAAGTTTATTAAATATAATAATTTGTCAATAATATTTAAAAAAAACCTTTATCAAATATTTTTTTGTAAATGTAATATTAAATCTGAATATTCTGAATTGCATTTAGTCTAGCCAGTTTAAATTTTACCATTATGTAAAAATATATATTATACAGTGTGAATGAAAATTCAAAAAATTAAGCTTTCTAAAAAGTATATATAAATTTGATAATAAAAAATTTTTAATTAACTTTGAAATCTACTATTAGATTAAATGTAAATTAAAAAATTTTTTTGATCTTAATAACTTTTAGTATAAGGATGTAAGGTATTTTAATTCTTATATTCTTATAAGTATGATGCTATAGCATATGTCATAAATATTTTACTGGATTTATTATCAGAGGAGAAATACTGGTATATTAAATTTATTTTTATTCAAAATTGATAAATAATTGATTAGAATATAATTTTTGATGATTAATATAAAAATTTTAATTAAAATGTTTTAATATTCATAGTTAAATAAACCTAGTTAAAAACTATAAAATATATTTTATTATTAGTTGTTTATATAGAAAATTTTTAAAATTATTAAGCTAATATTTTGATAAAATAAAATTATTTTTAAATTTCTATATTATATATGTTTTAGATTTAAATTTAGATTATTTAGTTTAGAGTAATATTTAATTGCATAAATATTTTATAGCAAAGTAAAAAAAATACTTACTAAGAAAAGTTTATTTTCAATTCTATTTTATCTATAACATTAGTAACTATGAAATATATTAGTCTCACAGCTTCGCTGTAATTAAATAAACATTACTAGTATCATAGATAAATAATTAGTAAATAAAAAATATTTATATATATAGTTTACTTACTATGCAATTATGAAAAGTTTAAAGATATAGGTATTCTGCTTTTGAAAAAATTCTTATATTGTTAACGTGCAATTCTTGTGAATTACGACAGTTAGACGGGGTGTTCGAGTGGTGATTCTTTTAAGTTTACGTAGTGATTTAATCTTAATTTAACTCAAGTTTATATGATTTACACGACGGTGTACTTTCGACAAAACTAAAGGGAAAATAGCAATTGATTCAGAGGTATAATAATATGTTTATTGATGATAAATATAAGGTATAAAATAATAATGATATATGAGATAAGAAAATAAAAAG